CTCGGAAATTTGCTATGGTTTATGCCAAAGGAGAAGAGGCTTCATGAATGGTTGATCTAAGAAATGGTTATGGCTTACTCTGTGTTTTATTTATCATTGGCAGTATATGAAAGTGTTGGGATGAGACCTTAGTTGATAAGAGGTGTTCTATCGGTATTCGATTGTTGTGTGCAGCTGCTGAGATTAGAAGTTATCGCTGCAAGCGTTGAGTTATGTGGTATATCGTGTAAATGCACCTGAGGTTGCAGGTATGGGTTGTTACAGCTTGTTCGGGCTTATTCCCAGTATAAATGTGAGATCCTGATCGCATTGAAGATTTCAGAAGTGGAAATGTGGCTCTGTGGTTTATGGGCTAGATTGGATTGTGAAATTTCAGTTTCTATGTGTTATCGGACCTATATGAGATAGGGTGACGTGGGATCACCCCCGGGTATATGCATGGTAAGGCTATTCAGCGAGTGGTTGGCTTTTGGAACAACTCTGGGCACGTTCGAGGACGAACGTATGTTTAAGTGGGGGAGGATGTAACGACCCGACGGGTTGTTTTGAGTTTTTGCACATTGCTCGCCAGTTCTCGGGCATGACTTGCCCCGTGTGGTGTATTATGACTTATGTAAATCGTTGGTTTTGGTTTTCGGGGTAATCGGAATGAATTTGAAAGAACAGCTCCCAGTTTGAAGCTTGAAATTTGAAAGGTTTGACCAATGTTTGACTTGCTTGTGTATGATCTCGGATCGGCATTTTTATGATTTGGTTAGCTCCGTTAGGTGATTTGAGACTTGGGAGCGTGATCGGAATGCATTTTGGAAGTCCATGGAAGGTTTAGGCTTAAATTGGCGAAATTGAGATTTCGGCGTTTTCCGGTTGTTAGGTGAGATTTTGATACAGAGGTCGGAATGGAATTCCGAAAGTTGCAGTGGTTCCATTGTGGCATTTGGGATTTGTGCGCAAAATTTTAGGTTATTCGGATGCGATTTGGTTGGGTTTTTGATCAAAAGCGAAATTCGGAAGATTTTAGAAAGTTTGGCTTGAATCCGATGTGTTTTAGTTGGTTTGATGTTGTTTGAAGTGATTTGATGATTGAAACAAGTTTGTATAAGGAATTGGGTCATGTTGGAGCCTTTGGTTGAGGTCCCGGGGGCCTCGGGGTGATTTCGGATGATTAACGGAGAGGTTGAAATTTTTGTTGCAGCAGCTGATATTGCTGCTTCTGGTATTTTCGCATCTGCGGATTGGGGATTGCAGATGCGGCGCCGAAGATGCGGGTTATTTATCGCAGAAGCGAAAAAGGGCCAGACGTGCAGAGATCGCAGAAGCGGTATTGTGACCGCATCTGCGATACCGCAGATGCGGAAGTTTAGTCGCAGAAGCGGTGTGGGCTGAGTAAGTGAAATTCCGCAGAAGCGGAGCTTTAGACCGCAAATGTGGTACCGCAGAAGCGGATTTTTGACCGCAGATGCGGGTATCCCTGGGCAGAACATATAAGTTATTTCATTACGCGAGTTTGAGATATTCCACCATTTTTAACTTCGGCTTGAGAGCTTTTGGACGATTTGGAAGATGGATTTCAAGGAAACTTCGTCAAGGTAAGGATTTTGGACCTAAAACACAATTCTATGGTAGTATTTCATGAATTTAGGGCTGTAATTAAAGGAATTAAAGGGCAAAAATGGAGGATTAGGGCTTGAGTTTAAGAGGCCTTTAAATGGAGATTTGAGGGGTCATTTGGACTTCGATTTTAGTATTCTTGATATGTATGAACTCGTGGGGAGATAAGGAATCTATTAGTGTGAAAATTTTTGAATTTCGAGACGTGGGCCCGGGGGTCGGGTTTTGGTAATTTCGGGATTTGTGCCCTTTAATAATTATTTTCGCTTGGGCTTTGTTCCCTTGGAATATTTTGACGTCCTCGTTCTGATTTTGGTTAGATTCGACGCGTCTGGAGGCCAATTCGTGGGGCAAAGGCGTCGCGAGCTAGATATTTAGCCGGTTCGAGGTAAGTAATGATTGTAAATGTTGTCCTGAGAGTTTGAAACCCCGGATTTCACAACGTTGTGCTACTTTGAGGTGACGCAAACGCGAGATGACGAGCGTGGAGTCGTGAACCATTGGGGGTTGTAACTTGGTCCGTCCTGTACTACTGTTAAGTCACGTATTTGATTTGAAATCTTATGATATTCCATATTTTTAGAGATTGATATTATATTTTGGGATGTATGCCATGTTTGGGGCCTTGTGCCGACCTGTTGAGACCCTTAGGGGCATTTTTACTAATCTTCCTCACTCTATTTGTTTTGAAAACATATCCTCAGTCATGTTTTACCTGTTATTGTTTAAATCTGTTTTATCACTTTACTTTTTAAAAATGTGAAAACCGTTTGGGCTGAGTTCCCTGTTTTATTGATGGTCCGAGTGATCGTGAGATTGATGACTGAGGTAGACCGAGGGTCTGATTGTGAGGTTAATGACTGAGAGAGGCCGAGGGCCTGGTTTTGAGGATTTTATATATATATATATATATATATATATATATATATATATATATCGGGCTGCACGCTGCAGCGATACATTGGATCGGGCTGCACGCTGCAGCGATACATTGGATCGGGCTGCACGCTGCAGCGATATAGCGCTTGGGCTGAAGGAGCCCCTCCGGAGTCTGCACACCCCCAGTGAGCGCAGTCGACTATATTCATGGATCGGGCTGCACGCCGCAGCGATATATGGATCGGGCTGCGCGCCGCAGCGGTTACTATATGGTACCTATTGAGTGTGAGTGCTGAGTGGGAGCGCTGATTGGTAAGAGTTGAGTCACGAGTGACTGAGAGGCTTGCCCGAGGGGCGATAGATATGTACATACATGCAAATGAGTGATGAGTTGCCTGAGGGGCCTGCTTATGAACTTATTGATTTTCCCTCCTTTTTAAAGTGAGTTTCTATCGAATACGTTGATTTATTTACTGCTTTCACTCATCTTTATACTGAGCCTCTGTCGAAAATGTTGAACAAATATTTTATAAACAACTTTCATTTAAGTTGGGGTTTTACGAGATGTTCAGAATTTAATCATTGATTTGGCTTTGTTATTTCCACTGAGAATTTCATGTTATGAGGTGTTTATGATTCCTGTTTTACCCGAGGGGCTGTTTACGAACTATATTTTGCCCGAGGGGCCGATTATGGTTTTCATCTCCTTTATTATAAATGGTATTGAACCCCTACTGAAATTGTTAGAAGATATTTTCAAATGATTTTTACCAAAAGCTGGAATTTAAATGAGACGATTGACTCGTATTCTGTTTTGAAAGCCTGTTGTGCTTATTGAGTTTATCATAAATGTGGATTCATCATTTCCTACTGCTCAGTCTTTATTTACTCTTATTACTTACTGGGTTGGAGTACTCACATTAGTCCCTGCATCTTGTGTGCAGATTCAGGTATTTTCTGAGCTTGGTGGCAGTTTTCATCGGAGTTAGCAAGCTAGCTGCCTAGCGATCGCGGCTTTGTTTTCTCACTCTTTTTCCTCCCTTATGTATTCTTGTGACTTTCCGACCATTTCGGTCTTGATGTGGTTAGACAGTTGTAGTAGATGCTCATGATTAGTGATACCTCGATGTCGGGCTTGTATGTTATTTCTGCACTGTTCATTTAGACTTATATTATGAAACATTTGTTTAATTAAAGGCTTTGAAGTGGCTATTAATGATTAAAGGGTTAATATGGGTGTTGTGTAGGCTGGCCTTGTCTTCACGAGAGGCGCCATCACGACCAGGTCTGAGTTTAGGGTCGTGACATTAGTATACATGTATTTTAAGATAACTAACGTGTAAGAAGGAACTGTCGGATTCATAGACAAGGTATATAGTATTGCAAAGGCAAAAACATATTTAAGGTTCAAATACGTCATTCTTAGACAGAGGAAAACATATTGCGGAGCTGACGGAGCTTATAGGCATGATTTTTAAGTCATCTAAAAAAAGGAAAATTATACCTGGCTTCTAACAACTTAAAAGTAAAGCCTTATTAGATCTAGACAAAATACTAATCAGTTTTCAAAGGTCATGCTTTCATATATCAGCAATGTAGTGTTTAGTAATCCCTTTTTGAGCTCAATTGTCATCTACTATATTCTTGGCATTACAACTCCTATAATCCAGTGTCTAAATTCAAAACTACCTTATAGTTATTCATTAAGGCACAAGAAATGTTCAATAAATGATTTGCTTTCCTATCAGCACTTAGATAGTCAAGCATCCCATGAAAATTAAACAAAACCAAATTATACTTCGTTCAACTCTTAATTTACTGAAAGTTAAAAACTATTGTCACTCAATGATTAAGCACAGTAACAGTTATTTTACTTAAAAAACCTAAGCATATTCTCACTCAACGCATTAAAAAACTGTATCTTTCACTTAAAGAGAATTCTAATACTTACTAAGAAGAAACAAATAAATAGTAACACTTTTTACAATCGTATAGAAGACAAGTTTATCTCCATACAAGTTTTGTGTGACTAGCGAAATCAGGAGAGAGTCACAACTTGGTCCTGAACTAAACTAATTACTGATCTATACCAGTTTGAAGAAAGAATTTCACTTTAAGTTACATGAGAATTGTTTAGACTTATAGGCAAGATCTCTAATTCTTTATTTCTAATGCTTCATTTCTTGACACTAACAAGTTGAGTTTTTTAATTAGAAACAGAATATACTTCTAGCACATCACTATGTCAAGCATCAAAGAACGAGAATAGGCCATATGTATAAGCAGACAAATACTTGTTACTCATATTTTTTTAAAATAAATGGTCAGTCTCAATACTCTTACAGTCATAATTTCTACAAACACATGAACATTTAAACAGAGAACTTAAACCAAAGTGCCAGCCTAAAAATGAATCCTAACTCATATTTTCTAGTTGAGATAGCTAATGACTTATGGGCATTGACCGAGAAAAAGAAAGGACAAAAGAAATCAAAGCTTCACAAGTTACTGACCTTTTGTGGTGCAGGAACTGGGGTCGCGTCAAGGTCTGCTCTCTCCGGCCTCTACTCCGCAATCTCGGATGACCGTCAAAACCCGAAACGAGCACGACGACGCCTCTGTTATGGTTAGACAAAACCAATAGAGGCTGAACAAAACGAACCCTTAGAGTGTGGTTCTAATGAGTAAAAAATGAGATAAGAATGGCGTGAAAAAGAGTATAAAAGCGGCGGATCCAAAGGTGCTGAAAATAGCCACAAAGTCTGGTATTTATAGGTATAAAATTAGGGTTCTTAGGCAGAGTTTTGAGTGAGAACTTGAGGCTTGAATCGAGTCAAAAATGCCCGTTTGACATTCAAATATTGGAGGGCCTGGATCTTCACGTGATTCTTCGGGTACGGAAAGATCAGATTTTCTGAAGAGCATTTTTGGCCCGTTCTGAATCTTTCTTGTTTGAATGAAACATTATGAAGATGAGAGAGATAGGAGCGTTTAAAAGATATACAAAAATGGAGGCGCACATATCCGATTTTGGGGGAAGAAGTCTGTGATTTTGTTCAAAGAGGAAGGTGAATCATTCGTCGTTTTCAGAGGAGAGAGGGAAATTAGGAGAAGGGTTTCTAGATAGTTCTCAACGGATATGGATCTGGCATGTCGGGTTAATTGTGTTAGCATATTTAGGCAATTTGGGCTGGTTTGGAGGTTTAATTGGTGGGCTAATTTGGTCGAAATTTTGGGCCTAGAGTGCTTTTTTCCTTCTTCCTTGTATATTTTTTTAGGCTTCTATTTAGATTTAAAATAATTTTATAGCTATATTATAAATACTACGTAATATTAACACGTTAATACTAATCAAACTATTTATATGCCTTAAAACAATTATGATAGCTAAAATTAGCCAAATAACCTACATTAATTGTGAATGAGAGTAAATATTGTAAAGTATTAAAATAAATACTACTATTCGATTAAATCAAGGAAAGTGATATACTTTTCGCAAAACACATTAAAGATGATACTAAAATAAACTCAGTAAACCATAATAATAATAATAATAATAATAATAATAATTTCTTATGCAAATAATAATAATAATGATAATAATAATAATAATAATAGAGATAATAACAATGATAAAAATAATGATACTAATTAGGTCTATTTTGGGATAAGAATGGTAAAATAATTATTCTTACATTATTAGTAATATTAGAAGCTCAAGAAAATAATTTGGAAGAAGCAGGGACAAAATTGGATGTCAACAATGGCTCCCCAGTTTCAGACTCCAGCAGCCCAACCAGTTGGGGTAGTTCAGCCGGGTGTTGCAGCACGAGCCGGTGATGGATTAGCTGTGTCTGTTGAGGCTTTATGGAGATTTGATAGGTTTACTAACCTTTTTCCAGTTCACTTCAGTGGTGCACCTTCATAGGACCCCCAGGACTATCTGGATAGTTGTCATGAGGTGCTACGAAACATGGGCATAGTGGAGACCCATGGGGTCGATTTCGCTGCATTTCAGTGTCGGGTTCCGCCAACAAATGATGGAGGGATTATGTGTTGCCAGGCCAGCTGGGTCTCCCGCTCTCACTTGGGACCAGTTCTCTCAGCTATTTCTCGAGAAGTTCCTTCTTGTCACATTAAGAGAGAACTATCGGAGGTAGTTCAAGCGTCTTCAGCAGGGCTCTATGTATGTCACTCAGTACGAGACCCGATTTGTGCATTTGACCCGTTATGCTATTCTTCTGCTTCCTACTAAGAGAGAGAGAGAGGGTGAGGAGGTTTATTGAGGGACTTGCCCAGCCTATCAAGTTTCATATGGCCAAGGAGACTGGGAGTGAGATTTCTTTTTAGACGGCTGCCAATGTTGCCAGGCGAGTCGAGATGGTTCCAGCTCAGGGGAGTGGTCAGGGATCTGACAAGAGACCTCTTCATTCTGGTGGATTTGGTGGTGCCTCATCTTGAGACAGGGGTACTTTTGGTAGAGGCCATCCTCCCAGGCCATTTCATTCAGCACTCTAGGCATCCCATGGTGCTTCAGGTGGTCGTGGCTCTCATATGCATTATTCCGACCAGCTAGCCTACTGTGCACCACCAGCTCCTATTAGTGCACCTCCGCTCCAGAGTTTTCATGATAGTTACTCAGGCCGACATGGTCAGTTTCAGGGTCAGCAGTCACAGCAGCCGAGGTCCTGTTATACTTGTGGTGATCTGAGGCACATTGCTAGATTTTACCCTCAAGCATCGAGTAGTTCTCAGCATCAGGGTTCTCGTGCCATGGTTTTGGCATCGGGTGCTTCACCGCCTGCTCGACCAGCTAGGGGTAGGGGTCAGGCAGCTAGAGGTGGAGGTTAGGCCATTAGAGATGGAGGTCAGGCCGCTAGAGGTGGAGGCCAGCCAGTATGGCCCATCCTCGAGATGTAGTTCAAAGTGGGGGCCCAGCCCCGATGCTATGCCTTTCCAGCCAGGTCTGAGGCTGAGTCAATAGACGTGGCTATCACAGGTACGGTTTCAGTTTGCAGTAGAGATGCCTCAGTTCTATTTGATCCGGGTTTTACTTATTCCTACATTTCATCCTATTTTGCTTTATATTTGGTTGTACCTCGTGATTCTTTGAGTACCCATGTGTATGTATCCACCCTTGTGGGCGATGCTATCGTTGTAGATCGTGTTTATCGTTCATGTGTGGTTACCATTGGGAGTCTTGAGACTCGTGTAAATCTCCTACTTCTCGATATGGTCGATTTTGATGTCATTTTGGGTATGGATTGGTTGTCACCTTATCATGCTATATTGGATTTTCACGCCAAGACGGTGACCTTAGCCTTTCCGGGGTTGCCTCGATTAGAGTGGAGAGGGACTCCTGGTCATTCTACTAGCAGGGTTATCTCTTATGTGAAGGCTCGGCATATTTGGCTTATGTCGCTATTCTAGTGCGGAGGTTCCTTCCATGGATTCAGTACTGGTTGTTCATGAGTTTCCAGAGGTGTTTCCTGCAGACCTGCGAGGAATGCCACCCGACAGAGATATCGACTTCTGTATGGCCCCAGGCACTCAGCCCATTTCTATTCCGCCATACTCTATGGCCCTGCCAGTGTTGAAAGAATTGAAGGAGCAATTGCAAGATTTGCTTGATAAGGGCTTCATTAGACCTAGTGTCTCGCCCTGGGGTGCGCCCGTGTTGTTTGTAAAGAAGAAGGATGGATCGATGAGGGGCATAGATTATCGGCAGTTGAACAAAGTCACCATCAAGAACAAGTATCCATTGCCAATGATTGATGATTTATTTGATCAGCTTCAGGGTGCCAAGGTGTTTTCAAAGATGGATTTGAGGTCTGGCTACCATCAGTTGAGGATTAGGGCATCTGATGTCTCTAAGACAACTTTTTGGACTCGATATGGGCATTACAAGTTTCTAGTGATGTCATTTGGGCTGACAAATGCCCCAGCAACATTTATGGATTTGATGAACCGGGTGTTCAAGCCTATTTGAATTCCTTCGTAATTGTGTTTATTGATGATATCTTGATCTACTCTCGTAGTCGAGAGGAGCATGAGCATCATCTTTGGATCGTTCTTCAGACTCTGAGAGACATCAAGTTATATGCTAAGTTTTCAAAATGCGAGTTTTGGTTGAGCACAGTCGCCTTCTTGGGGCATGTTGTGTTGGCAGAGGGTATTCATGTGGATCCTAAGAAGATTGAGGCAGCCAAGAACTAGCCTAGACCCACTTCAATTACAAAGATTCGGAGTTTCTTGGGATTGACGGGTTATTACAATCGGTTTGTGGAGGGGTTCTCATCTATAGCAACCACGTTTGACCATGTTGACCCAGAAAGGTACCCCATTCAGATGGTCAGACGAGTGTGAGACGAGCTTTAAGAAGCTCAAGACTACTTTGACGATGGCACCGGTATTGGTGTTACCCATAGCTTCAGGGCCTTATATAGTGTATTGTGACGCATCTCGTATTGGACTTGGTGCGGTATTGATGTAGGATGGCAGGGTGATTGCATATGCGTCGCGGCAGCAGAAGGTTCACGAGAAGAATTACCATGTTCATGACTTAGAGCTGGCAGCCATTGTTCATGCGCTGAAGATTTGGAGGCACTATCTTTATGGCGTATCGTGTGAGGTATTCATGGATCATCGGAGTTTGCAGTACTTGTTCAAACAAAAGGAGCTCAATTTGAGGCAGAGTAGGTGGTTGGAGCTGTTGAAGGACTATGATATCACCATCTTGTATCATCTCGTGAAGGCCAACGTGGTGGCCGATGCTTTGAGTAGAAAGTCAGTGAGTATGGGCAGCCTTGCGTACATTCTAGTCGGTGAGAGACCGCTTGCATTAGATGTTCAGGCATTAGCCAATCAGTTCGTGAGGTTCGATGTTTCTGAGCCCAGTCGTGTTTTAGCTTGTACAGTCGCTCGGTCTTCATTGTTTGAGTACATCAGGGAGCGACAGTATGATGACCCTCATTTGCTTGTCCTTAGAGGCACGGTGCGACACGATGATGCCATGCAGGTTATAGTTGGAGATGATGGAGTTATGAGAATGCACGGTCATGCTTGTGTACCTAATGTGGATGAACTTCATGAGTTGATTCTAGAGGAGGCCCTCAGTTCCCGATATTCTATTCATTCAGGCGCCTCCAAGATGTATCAGGACTTGCGGCAGCATTATTGGTGGAGGAGAATGAAGAAGGATATAGTGGCATATGTAACTCGGTGTCTAAATTGTTAGCAAGTAAAGTACGAGCATCAAAGACTTGGTGGTTTGCTTCAGAAGATAGAGATTCCAGAGTGGAAGTGGGAGCGTATCACTATGGGTTTTGTTGTTGGACTCCCACGGACTTAGAGGAAGTTCGATGCAGTTTGGGTCACTGTGGATAGACTGACCAAGTCACCGCATTTCATTCCTGTGGTAGTTACCTATTCTTTAGAGCGGTTGGCAGAGATTTATATCCGCGAGATCGTTCGTCTTCACGGTGTGCCCGTGTCTATCATTTCTTATCGAGGTACGCAGTTCACCTCGCATTTCTGGAGAGCAGTACAGCGTTAGTTGGGCACGCAGGTTGAGCTGAGCATAGCATTTCATCCTCAGACGGACGGACAGTCCGAGCGCATTATTCAGATATTGGAGGATATGCTCCGCGTTTGTGTTATTAACTTCGGAGGCTCTTGGGATCAGTTCTTGCCGCTCGTGGAGTTTGCCTATAACAACAACTAATAGTCGAGCATCCAGATGGCTCCCTATGAGGCATTATATGGTAGACGGTGACGATTGCCCGTTGGATGGTTTGAGCCGGAGGAGGCTCGGTTATTGGGTACAGATTTGGTACAGGATGCTTTGGATAAGGTTAAACTCATTTAGGATAGACTTCGCACAGCTCAGTCCAGGCACAAGAGTTATGCTGACCGTAAGGTCCGTGATGTTGCATTCATGGTTGGAGAGAGTGTGTTGCTCCGTGTGTCACCCATGAAGGGTGTAACGAGGTTCGGAAAGAAGGGCAAGTTGAGCCCTAGATACATCGGACCTTTTGAGATTCTTTAGAGAGTGGGTGAGGTGGAATACAGGCTCGCATTGCCACCTAGTTTGTCAGCTGTTCATGCGGTATTCCATGTGTCCATGCT